CATACAAACAAAGATGTTGTGTCCGCCTAAAACTAAAATAAATAAATAAATAAATATTAAAAAAAAAAAAAAGAAATTCAGGGGATAATTCCATCCAATGAAGGTTGAGGGGGGACTGCACTCCAAGGTCAGGGTCAGTGACTGGGCCCCCGGGGTCAGTGGTCAGTCACACCCCCACACGGACGGGTTCTCTCATCAGGAAAGGGCCGGGAATATTCCGACACAGCCAGAAGCCTCAGACCCTTAACGGGAGTCGCCCAGTCACGTGTCAGGATGGCTTCCCACACCTCTAGAGTCAGTATGCTTACTATTTCCATGAAGAAACCAATGGAGTCAGTAGAACAGCAGAGCAGTTCAGTGCATGGATCTGATCCAAGTTGCTTTGGTTAAATTTTAACTCTGCTACCTACTAGCATCTTGTACCTCAGTTTCTTCATCTGCAAAAAGGTAATAATAGTAGTATCTCTTTTTTGTGTGTGTGGTGCTGGGGATTGAACCCATGACCTATATCCCCAGCCCCAGCAATATCTTTTCCTAGTATGATTATGAGAATTAAATAAGATGCTACATTTTAGTTGCTTGGTGTTATGGTTTAAATCTGAAATATCTCCAAAAGCCCATGCTCTGGGAGTATGGTCCCTAATGCAGCAAGGTTTGGAGGTGGGGTTTTTAGGCAATGATTGAATCATGAGGGCTCTGACCTCATCAGTGGATTAATCCAATTGATGGATTAATACATGCATAGCTGGACTGACTACTAGGAACCTGTTTGGAGGAAGTAGGCCACTGGGAGCATGCTCTGGAAGGGTTTATCTTCTCTCTGGCCCCCTCCTCTCATTCTTTGCTTCCTGGCTGCCATGAGCTGAGCAGTTTCCTCTGCAATGCCTCTCTGCCATGTTTCTCTGCCTTGGAGCCAGCTGATAATGGATTGAATCTTCTGAAACTATGAGGTATTTTGGTCACAGAGACAAAAGGCTAACACAGTAAAGGTTTAAAAAATTTACATCTACTAACATCATCAAAATCAATGTTATATTCCTGAGTAGAGCTATAACTTACCTCCCATAGCCATCACACTTTAAGTCTAGCCCACCCTCTCATTCACTTACCTGCAGGTTATTCTATTGTTCTGCATTTCTCAATTTTTGTTTTTTCCTGAAGCCAGGATTTTTAATCCAAGGTCAATTACTCATTGTACAAACATGATTTTCCTAAGACCATTGTTTCTCCCTTACAGAGTCACTGATTGTTTCCCAAGCAGGCTCAACTTTGTCAAACGCACAACTAGGGGTGGGAGCATGGTAGCGTCAAGGCTTGTGCTCCTGCCCTCACAGGCCTGTATATTGTATCCCCTAGATTTGGAATCTCTGTCAGTGGGTCCCTTTGTTTATATACCCTAAGTATCTACTATTAGAGTAAGATTATATTATGATGAAGAGCCCAGCTTCTGGAGCCAAACAGCTAAGGTCAAATCCAGTGGTGTGATCTGGGCTGACAGTCTCCCAAAGCCTCATTTTTCTCATCTGAAAAATGGGACTAACATTAATCTAGCCTATTTCATAGGGTACTGTGTGGAGTAAGAGAATGTGTGTAAAACACTCAGCATAGTACCTACCTCAATACATATTTAGTATGAATATCTAGGGCTATGCTATTTTACATGGCAGCCATAGCCACATGTGGTGGTTGAGCTCTTTTATATATGGCTAGTCCAAACCAGAAAAAAATTGTTTTTTTCAGTACTGGGGATTGACCCAGGGCCTTGCACATTCTGAGTAAGTACTCTACACTGAGCTACAACCCCAATCAGCTAGTCCAAATCAAGATACATTGAAAGTATAAAATACACAATGGATTTCAAATTTAGTACAAAAAGAGTAAAATATACTTATAATAGTTTCTTTATATTGATTACATGTCATAAAAATATTTTGGACATATTGGGTTAAATAAAATATTACTAAAATTAATGTTTTTATGCTTTATTAATATGGCTACTACAAAATTTGAAATTACATATGTGGCTCATTTTGTGGCTTGCATTATATTTTTTTGGTGCTAATTCTAATGGGTTCTGCTGTTTTTCAGTAGGGGAGAAGAGAGATTTAAATTTTACCGATTGCAATTATCTGAGCTGCAAGGGCTCTTTGAATAGCATAGAGTCCAACCTCCTCTCTATAAAGTTAAGAAAAGGCCTAGAAGAAATGTGATATGCAAGCTGGACTTGGTGGTACATGTCTGTGATCCCAGTGAAATCAGAAGGTTGAAGCAGGAGGACAGCAAGTTGAGACAAGTCTTAGCAATGCAAGTGAAGTCCTCAGCAACTTAGCAAGACCCTGTCTCAAAAATGAAGCCATCCCTTCATTTTTGAAAAATGAAGAGGGCTGGGGACATGGTTCAGTGGTTAAGCACCCCTGGGTTTAATCTCCAGTCCCAAAACAACCACAACAACAACAACAACAAAAGAAATATGCAGGACTGGAGATATAGCTCAGTGGTAGAGCACTAGTCTAGCATGTGTGAGGGTTAGGATTCAATACCCAGCCCCAAAATAAAATAAAAAAAAAAGGAAACAGAATTAGAACCAATGCACCCACATGGCAGACAGTTCCTGCCACAACGATGCTGCCATCTCGTGGTCATCCATATATAATAGATGCAAACTCCTATAGCAACTGGGCTCCCTTCAGATGCAGGACTCTGCTACCATCTACTTCTCAACCTCTGCAGACATGAGGACAGAAAAGGTCTGCCTCCTGTGACCCTTGGCAGCCAGACTGCTCTAGACAGTAGGGTGATTAAGAGCACAATTTGTGGCTATAGATGTGCACTGTTTCAGGTGCTGGGATACGTAGTGACCTCATTAGACAAGTCCAGTAATTGCCCAGGCTAGGGCTCTAATGTGAGGTTTGTGGACCAATGTCAGCACTACTTGGGAACTTATTAGAAATGCAAATCTTCAAGCCTTCAGCAGAAACCATGGGATCTGAATCTGATGAATGCTCATGTTGGAGAAGCATTGGACTTGGTGATAAAAACATGTATCAGGTGGCATTAAGGGCTATAAATACAGCAGAGTAAATGAATAACTGGAGAATGATGGCCAGAGGTGAGGGATGCTAATGATGGCCAGATCAGGGAAGATCTGGCTAATAAAATAACAAGTTCCAGCAAAGATCTGAAAGCGAATACCTGGAAGAAAGGGAAGAGGCAGGACATGATTCACTGCAAGATACTTCCTGTAAATCACACACACATACAACTCTGCCTACATCTCCTCACCTTACAGCCCACAACTTAATCACATGAACCACACCTAGCTGTCCAGGGAAGCTGAGAATTTGTATTTTTCTTTCTTTTTTTAATTTTTTTTTTGGCACCAGGGATTGAACCCAGGGGCTCTTAACTACTGAGCCACATTCCAACCCTTTCTATTTTATTTTTTGAGATATGGTCTCACTAAATTGCTGAGGCTGGCTTTGAACTTTTCAATCCTCTTGTCTCAGTCTCTTGGGCCACTGGGATTTCAGGAGTGAGCCACCATGCCTGACTGAGAATTGTAGTCTTTATTCTGATCAGTCATACATCCAGCTAAAAATTAAGATTCCTAATTACAATAGAAAATGAAGAGATTGTTTCTGCCACAATGATTCTGGCGTAATCAGCCTGGGGGGGGGGTGTGGGTCTTGTTTTTCATGTATATGCCTCCAATCATGAAGAGATTCCTACTCATGAAGTGGTTTTATTCTATTAGCAGCTGTTATAAAACTCTTTATTTGAGGTTCAATTCTATTTTCCACAACTTCTACCCACTGGCTGACTTCTATTCCTCCCTCCCTTTCCTTTCCTTTCCTTCCTCCCTTTCAGTACTGGGGACTAAACCCAGGGGCATTCTACCATTATTATATCCTCCTTTTTGTTTTGTTTTGTTTTTTTAAAGATAGGGTTTCATTAAGTTGCTCAGGCTGGCATCAAAATTATGATCCTCCACCTCCATCTCCAAGTCACTGGGAGTAGAGGTGCATGCCACTGCACCCAGCAACTTCTACTACTTTAGAGCTATATCAACAAGTCTGCTGCCTCTTCCCCCAAGACACAACTTTGAGTCCCTCATATATCTTCTTCTTGGGCCACTTAAGGTCAACAATATTCCCCTGAATTTATATTTTGGGAAAGGTTTTACTGATCCTGCATCAAGAGACTGAATTGCTTTGATAGTACCTTCTCTGGGCAACAGGAGGCTACCACCGCGTGTACCTGGGTGAACGAAGGCTGATTGGAAGACAGAAACATCTAGTGAGACTAATGTTCTCAGGAAGAATTCAGAGGAGGTTTTCCAGAAGTATATTTAGTTTCAGTCCTCTTGCAATTGTCTCTCTGTTCTGTAATTTCTTCAGATTTATTTTGGAGATCAGTAATTCTTCCTTCAGCTGCCATTTAACCTATCCACTGAGCATTTAATTTCAATAATTACATGTATTTTTCCGAGAATTTTCTTTGGTCTTTTTCACATGTACTTAATTATTATTTATAGCTTTTGCCTGGTCTTTTTTTGTTATTCCACTGTGTATTTCCTTAAACATTTCATACACAGTTGTTTTATATCTTAATACCTTAAGTCTTCGGGAGTATCTAAGTGTTTGATATTTCTGCTCTCTTGTTCTTGTTTTCGTGTGTACTGACTTCTTTGTAGTGGGAAACTGGAGGGCCTCTGTTGTGAATGGCTTTCAAAGATTGGCTTTTGTTTCTGCCAAGAGTTTAGGAACACTACTCACTGGGCCTACATTAGCCTAGAGATTCAGATTATTTCTGGCATCATGTGAATGTTGAGCTCCCTCACCTTGGTTTGGGGGTGTAGGGACAGAGCCTCAGCTCAACCCCCTGGCTAAGGAGCCCAATTTGCTCTCAGGGTTGGCTCAGCCTTCTTTGACTGAATCTTTCTGTTCCCTAATCCATTTCCATCTTGACATCCTGTATCTTTCTCATTTCTTTAAAGCCCTTGGAGATCTCCTTTGGAGCCCTGGAATACACATTTTGTTTTAATTTATCCAGGATCCAGAAAAGTCCTTCAAAGTACCACTTGGCTGAACCACAGAAGAGGTAAGTATATTCATCCATCTTCCTACAATTCATCAAACAATCTAACAATCTTTATTGAGCCCCTACTTTGTGCAAAATTGGCCAGGTGCTGGGTAGCAGACAATGAGCAAGGCATACTCCTTGCCCTCTCAGAGCCCATGTCAGTGGGAAAAAATAGGCTATTACACTAGAGGGTGGCCAATGGTGTCATGTGGGAATAGAGGCACTATGGGAATTCAGTGGAGGGGTATCCTGAGGGGCAGTGAGGAAGGAAACTCAATGGGTGAGAAGAGCTGGTTCTCAGATGAGCAGAAGACAATAAGGCCACATGAAAGTGAGCAAATGCCAAAGGAGCCAAACTGAGGGTGGAGAGGCCAGGGAAGGACTGGGGAATTAGAAAAGGGAAAGGAACTGTTTGGCTTGGGCAGTGTGAGGGAAGGGTGAAGGGTGTGACCAGCTGGGGCAGACAAAACACTGAGATTCCCTGAGGAGTCTGGATTCTATTCTGAATAGATCAGGGTGGGGCAGTGACTTAACAGAAGGGAACAGCAGTTAGCATTTACTTCCACAGTGCCCAGAATGGAAGCAGGGACCTCAGGCTTGGCTCTACTGCAGAGCTTAGCCTCCAGCCCTGCAGTATGGCCCAAGGATAGGATGGGGCCAGAGAGAAGACAGGAAGTCTTGTAAATGGTGGTGAAGTGGGGCCTGGTGGGGTTGCAGTCATAGCCGTCACCTTCAGGTTATGTACTCAGGCTGGGCTTTCAGGGTCTGAAGGTTCAGTAGGCAACAGCCCCCATCAAGTTCTTTCCCACCTCAGTGGCTCATAGGCTGCCAAGTTCCAAACTGAGCTGCACAACTTACGAATTCCTGCAAACAAAACCCTGGCCCTGCTTCCAAAGACCTGGATGACTGCATTCCTGGTTACCAGGATACAGCAGAACAAGTTGCAATGTCCCATCACAGGAAATATAAAGAATGCTCCAGCAACTGCCAGCATTTTCCCACCAGGATTCCAGCCAGCTGTCCTTTATGCTGCTTGGCACAAGAACTGAAGAGGCATTAAGAATAGCAGCAGCTTCTTCAGTGCCAGGCACTGTGCTAAACACTTCCATCCTGTGATCCCCAGGCAGCCGTCATTGCAGGCGTTTTCACTAAATGGCTGACTCTGCCTAAGGTTGCAGGCTGAATCTGCGTACTAGGATTTTAATCCTGGCATAGCCACCTCTTGAGGGTCTCTGCCTGGGAAACAGACAGGATGGAAGCACCCCATTGAAGAAATTTTTAGATATTAAAAATTTACAAATGTTTCCATGTACCAGTCACCCAATTTTCTTACTGATACTATCTTATCTGTATTTATCAGAAGAAATAAATGTTGGTACTTTCTAAATTCCTCTGGTCTTTGTCCTTGATTTTCATGACTTGTGACAATTTAAGGAGTATCTTGTAGAATGTCTTCTAATCAGTTATGGGTCTTTAGGAAAAAATATCAAGAGGTGAAATGCTCTTCCTACCATGTCAACCCAGAGGGCAAATATTGACATGATTTTTCACAAGTGATGCCAACTTTACTTTGGTTAAGTTAGTGTCAGTTTGCTCCCACAGTGAAGTTACTATTTTCCCTTTTTTTATATTCTTTGGAAAGTGAGTCACCCAGTTAGGCCCACTCTAAGGTAGAGTATCTACTTACATTTATTGGAATTCTAAGACTTATATCCCCTGGTCCCCATTTATTAAAATTTTTAAGATCAGTATGTGCCAGGTACAGTGATGCATGCCTATAATCCCAGTAACTCAAAGCTGAAGCAGGAGGATCCCAAGTTTGAACCCTGGTAACCTGAAACCCTTTCTAAAAAAAAAAAAAAAAAGAATGGGGATGTAGCTCAGTAGTATAGTACCCCTGGGTTTAATTCCCAATAAAACACAATCAACCTGGAGTCACTATTTTTAATGTTTTATGCTTTGGGTTTAACCACATGCTTCATTTAAAAATGAAAAAAACGGATTTTTAAAATGATTTATTAAAACATCATGCCAAGGTTAACAAATTTAGAAGAGACCACATAATGTAGATTTCATTTATAGTGAGATCCTGTCTCAAAATAAGAAATAAAAAGGGCTGGGGATGTTGCTCAGTGGCTGAGCATCCTTGGGTTCAATCCCTGGTACCAAAAACAAACAAAAAAACCAAACCACTGAATTGCATAAAGAGGTGATCTGTATGACTATTTAATAAGTGCAGCTTAAATCATTGTGGTGGTTCACACCTGTAATCCCACCAGTTCAGGAGACTGAGACAAAGATGATTTCAACAGGCCAGCCTCAGCAAATTTGTCTCAAAATAAAAATGGCTGGATGTGGCCAGGCATGGTGGTACACACCTGTAATCCCAAAGGCTCAAGAGATTGAAGAAGGAGAATCTAAGTTCAAAGGCAGCTTCAGCAAGACTATTTCTAAACAGAAAATATATGGGCTAGGGTTGTGGCTCACTGGTTAAAAGTGCCCCCAGGTTCAGTTCCTAGTACCAAAAAAAAAAAAAAAAAGTTGGGTGTACTTCCTGTACTTATCTGGCATGCCTAAGGCCCTGGTACAGCAAAAACAAAAACAAAAAGTGCAGCTCAGTGCTGGCAGCTGCCAGCAGCTCAGGAGTTTGATTTTTGCCAGGTTACTTTCTACACTGGTTTTCTTAGCTGTTATCATGGTTTTCCATCACTTTAAGATTCAATGCATAATTAAAATAGGATCTGGCATGTAACTAATGTCCTTCCTCACAGTAATCCACTTGTGCCTCAGGTCAATTTGCTTATTCCCTTTGCCTGAATGCATTGCTCAAAACATGCCATCCAAGGTTCACCCCAACAGCAGCATCTCATCAAGGTTTCCCCTCTTGCTGATCTCCTCCTCCAGAACCACCTTGTGTTTTGGTGCACTCACCTCTCCAGTCCTGGACACAACATCCTCTCCTTTCCACTGGCCTGGCTAATCTCATTGCTCCATCAGTGGGCCCTACCTCCCCACCACAGGGTCCCGTGGCAATCCCTTGCAGAACATTCAGCACCATCTGGTGCCACTGTGTCCTTGGAGCTGGAATCAAGCTTCCGGAAAAGCAAGAACTTTTCTTTTTATTGCTGATGAGAAAATAGGACTTGGTGTGTATTTGTGGGGTGGCTGAATCTTTATGTACTTTATGTACCGATGTGGAACAATCTCTAAGATCTGCCAAGTAAAGAAAAGCAAGGCACAGCAGAGTGAGCTGCCCATTTTGCACAGAAGGTGTGGGGGGAGATACACGCCCACTTGAGTTTATATATGGCTCAGGCCTGGAAGGCTCCTCTTCTGCTCAGGCTACACTTGGATCAACAGTTCCCACTCTGCTCTGGCTCTTTAAGAATTGGTTCATTTTTAGAACCAACATCTTTCATTTTCAAAACAAGGTCTCCAAGGCCTTGATTTGCTTTAGGTGACTGAGGAAGCTTAACACCACAACAAGCAAGTATGCAAAAGACCCAAGTAAGTCCTAGTACCTCACCTCTTCCAGGAAGCCAGTTTGCAGAACCCAGGTTCACCTGTTCTACACCAAGGGCCCAAACAGTTCCACTTATGTTCCTGCATGATGTCTTTTACATCTTCTGAAACAATATAATATTTTGTCATGCCCTCATCACACCTAGATAAGTGAAGGGAAATAAATACCCCCTGGGTGGCTCCTACACAAGAAAAGACTAGTGTTGAAATAGTTTACAAGGCATTTATTAACAGAAAATAATCTGAGGAGTACTGTTCACAGACGGCGACCACGGCGACCCCCCTTCCTGCGGGTGCTGTCGGAGGGGATGGGGGTGACATCCTCTGTGGGGAGAAGAGAAAACATCAGTGCCTGGAGCTGGATGGGAAGAACCCCAGGCCTCCCTAGGCCAATGGTCTACCCATTCAGCAGTAGATCCTATTGTTCCCCAAATGTGTTCCTATTATCAACAGATGAATGGGGAATTGTCCCACCTTCCACATCCTCAAAATCAGGAAGACAGATTTAGAAATGACACTAGGCCATCCCAAGCAGATGGGAAGAACACCATGCAGCTCCTTTCAGCAAATGTAACTGCCAAGAGACACCAAACCAGGCTCTGTACAAAATAGGAGCGGCACATGATTTCTGGTATCAATAAATACCCCTTGGGTGGCTCCTACACAATAAGGTTTCATTACATTTCTTGGAATTCTAAGACTTATATCCCCTGGTCCCCATTTATTAAAAAATTTAAGATCAGTATGTGCCAGGTTAGTTTCAAAACTAACCTGTGTTTGTGAGGGGGAGACTTACCAATCCGCCCAATCTTCATTCCTGAACGAGCAAGGGCTCTGAGAGCTGACTGGGCCCCAGGTCCAGGGGTCTTGGTCCTAGGAAGTAGAAGTTCAAGTTAGACAAGCCAATGGTAATCTCCATAAAATCTCATAAATTCTCTAATGACAAATCTCGTGTAAAGGACCAGACAATAAATATTTAAGGCTTAGAGGGGTTACTATCGCTTCTGTTACATAGCCAACAAACAAAAATTCCTTTAACTATTATTAGAGTAATTTGTACAGACAGTACAAAGAAAGAACAGCAGGTCAACCTAGTCATAGGTCAGTTTGCCCTGCTCTGTCTGCAGCCAGGTAAAGCCCCCTCCCTTCATGCCACATGCTGTGACCCTTAAGTCTTCTTTGCTGCTCTGTCCAAGACACTACCACCTCTGCATGGGACCACTTGAACAGCTTTCTATCTGGTCTATACCCTACCTGGTAATCATCTATTCTAGCTTTCATGCCCAATAAAGCCCAAATTGTTGTCCTGTTCTATAATACCCAGCAAGGCTCCACCCCTGCATCTCTCTAATCACACCTCATACTACTTTCCTTCTCCTAGTTGCCCAAGCTCATCCTTACCCCAAGAACTTTTTCTTGCAACTGTCTCTAGCTGGAATACCTTCCTTCTGTCTTGCCCTCTCTGAAAGACTTCTGGATATCATTTAGGACTTAGTTGAAAATATATGTCATCACTAACTCCATACATTCTCTTCCTAGCGTTTGCCACAAATAGAGGTCACACACTCACTGCTGCTCTATTTGCTTAAAGTCTGACTCTCCCACAAGCCTAAGTTGCATACAAGGAGGACAAAGGCATTATCTGCTTTCTTCCTTTACTCTTTTTTCTTTTTTTAGTATTGGAAACATAGTGACTGGTATACAGTGGGCACTTGATAAGGGTGGGGTACATCCAGGAGCCAATTATACGTATATGCCTAAAATATCTTGTTTCTGATTACAAAAGAAAACCAAATCTCTCAAATCTAAGTGTTCTGGCACCTAAGCCCAGTAGTCTTACCACCACCCATCTCTAGCCTTATATACCTGTTTCCTCCTGTGGCCCGGAGTTTGATATGTAGAGCAGTGATGCCTAGCTCCTTGCACCTCTGGGCTACGTCCTGGGCAGCCAACATGGCAGCATATGGAGAGGATTCATCTCTGTCAGCCTTCACCTTCATCCCACCTGTCACACGACAGATGGTTTCCCTGGGGACAAAAGCAGAGTCATTCTTTTTCATCTCCCAACAATGATTCACTAAGTGATTATCATGTCTAACAAATAAAGACTGCCACAACTCAGGTATGGCAGAGCTTGAGTCAACTTGAGCTTATATCCTGATCCTGGACAAGAGAGTCATGAGCTCTGACTTCATGGGGTTCAGTTTAGTGGGCTGAAAGAAACAACACAGCTAAACCTTATATTTTACTTTTGCATTCAATCTTTAAAGATTAGTCTATGAGGTGTATTAATATCTTCATTTTATGTAGGAGAAAAATCAAAGTCAGAATCTGAATGACTTCACAAAGAATGTCTCCTTTTAATTCCTAGAAAATTATGCATTTTTGGACAAAACGAGCAAACACATTTCCTTACCTGGACAAAGCATTAATTCTTTAGAGAGAACTTCCTAAACTGGGGACATTTCTTCCCTCAGCCTCTTGCCAGGTGGGTTTTGTGCCTCTCCACCCAGGTACTCACTTGCCAGAAAGATCAGTGACGTGGACAAAGGTGTCATTGAAGGATGCAAAGATGTGGCAGACACCAAACACATTCTCTCCTTCCGCCACCTGAGGTCCAAGGCTGATGACCTGTTCTTCCTTCTTTTCCTTTCCCTTGCGAGGTGCCATTTCTGAATAAAAGAACCTTAGAGTTAATGACAAGATTTCCATAGCTAGGCATGATGGTGCATGCCTGTAATCTGAGTACAGCTCAGGGGGCTGAGGCAGAAGGATTATAAATTCAGGGCCAGCCTCAGAAACTTAGTGAGGCCCTGTCGCAAGATAAAAAAATGAAAAGGACCAGGATATGGCTCAGCGATTAAA